TGAGGTAATTTTCAGAGCCAACTTCGTGTTTTGTGTTGATGTGCCAAATCTAGGGTTCTTCTTGCATTTCTTGGCTTGAATCGGAAGTATGAGAGGTCCCATGGAGATATGGAACCTAGATCTGGACCTTAGCAAGTCCAGGAGACCCCATATGACAAGCTTTATGTCCCATTCTTTGAGTTAGAAGCTAAACTTGCCATATTAGAGGTTGTTTTTTCAAAATAAGCCTTGTATGCATTGCATGGCAACCAAGACTGAGACTTTACGTGACAAATAAGCTTGGGAAGGCCAGATCTATGTATGTATGGAACGGATCTGCCCGCAAAAGCCAGTTTTAGCTGGTGCATGGCATGGACTCGCTGAGTCTGAAGAACAGACTCGACGAGTCGCTTGAAGATTGTCCTTGAGACCACCCTGTGTGTCGTCCTGACCGAGTTATGGGTGACTTAGTGAGTCGCAGAGAGTTGGAAAGGTTTTGACAGGTGGACCGAGTCAGGTTGGGACTCACCGAGTTGACCTTCGACTCAGCGAGTTGAGTCATGGTGGCCCTGTGATTCAGGCCCAGGGGGAACTCGTCGAGTCGGTGGAGTACTCGATGAGTCAAAAGGGATAACCTGATAGTTGATTAAAATGCGCAGACTCGCCGAGTCACTAGTGTGCACTCGCCGAGTCGGTCCAAATTGATTAAAGACGATTGACGAAGTTAACTATGTTGACTTGGATGGTCCACCTTTGTGGTATGTCACACCCCAAACCAGAACGGCGGAAACGTTCAGGGGCGGAGGACGTCATGTTCAATATCATAACAGTTCATAGAAAGGAAAGTACACACCACCATATATAATAAGTTTGCAAGATGTTTACATAGTTGTATTCATTACATGTTCAAAATAAAGGTACATAAACATCATTCAAAATGAAGTAATTAACGCCAGCGCGTTAATCCCAAAAGTTGATTCCCAACCTGCTTAGCGATTTCCTGAGAATACAAGTTATTTCAAAGAAAAAGTGTCAACAATTAAGTTGGTGAGTCCATAAGTAGTTTAGAAAAATTGGATGCCATTCCAAAATGGGTGTATGTTTTCCAGTAAACGTAGCATTTCAAAATGTAAAGAGTTGTGATTTGTTGTGTTGAAAATGAATGCATTAGCTCCAGAAAATCCCATATTATCCTAAAAG